ATCTAGCCAATGGGACAGAACAGTAAGAATTTGCGCCCTGATCAATTTACAGTGGAATGTTTGCTTTTAATTATAATTATTGAGAAGTGATTCAACCTCCGCATTTCAGGAAAATACAATCGCAATGTTATGTAAACATGAACTATCTAAGTCTGATTGAGAGTTTTCAATCTTTCATTTGAAAGAATGGCGTTCAATGAACAAACTGCGTTACTTCATCTTATGCGACGTGTGCCGATGTTTCCGAGGAACTCAATAATATTTACCTTTCGTGTGTTAAACGGACAGGTGCGGCTTAGAACTTATTTCTTTCAACTTATGCAAGAAGTTACTTTTTACTTGCACTCTTTAGTCGTAATTGTTTGTAGTAGGAACGCCCCCTGAACGATAAAATGTGTACTGGTCAACCAATAAATGTCAAACACAAATAAAAGATTATAGTCCTCAATGAATAAGCTGTATTATCTAACAAACTACTTTATGTGTTCATAAAACAATTTGTTGATTTATTTGTAGGCCAGAACGACCAGTGGCATTTGAATACTTTTTGTTCGTATCTTTAAGATAAAACAGTACTTTAGTATAGATACTAAGAGCAATGGGCGTACAAGAAAGCACCATTTTATCAATAAACTAAAGACAAGTCCCAGCTTCACACAGGTACAATGTTGATATTAAATTTCTCCAGTATTTAAAGAATGTTATCTAGTATGCATATAAGACTTCCTCTTGAATCACTGGATCTTAAAAAAACCACATCAAAATCCGTTGCATAGTTTTTAAGATTTGATCGGCCCACCCCTGCTTTGCACTGGTAACTCATCTCATCTCATCTAACTGTTTGCGATTTCCCGATTATCCCTTCTACTTTTCTCAAATAATTTTTCATAAAAACCACCTGGTAATAACGAATACAGCAAAAATCAATTGACAACATTGGTCCAGGCGTTGTTGAGTTATGTGCTTACCAACACAATTTGCTATTTATTTTTATATTAAAGATAAGCCCGATAACGTTTTGAGGGCAGATGAATATAATTTCGTTAGTTAATAAACTTTAATAATTTATAACCTAAGCGCCCATTACGTTAATGGGTTAAGATAAACAGTTTAGTGATTACTGCTGGAAACTAATATTTTGCGCAGCTTTTTTTTGGTTTTTACTTTATTTTTAGCTGTGGTAATATCTAATGTCTCACAGTGCTAGCGTTAAACCAAAGGTGCAGTATTTTAGTAAATACTGCAACATTTGGAATTGGAACGCAATTGGAATCAGCTTCCGATAACATTTTGAGACTTATTTCTTTAATTTTTATTATAGCAACTAGTTTTAGTGGCTCGTGCTGAAAGCCTGTCCAGCCAGCACCATCAAAACATACCTGCAATACTCAGACTTTTAAGTATTAAAACCTCTTTTGTATGCAAAACAACCGCTTACCTACCGGGAACTAAGTAGCAGTTATCATTTATGAGCCCATAGACTATACCATATAGAAATACCAAAATGATCAATGCTATAACAGCTTTAGTCGGGAACTAAGGTTTTAATAGCATAGATCATTATGCACACTAGCGCCACTTCTCAAAAAAGTACTCGACTAATAAATGTAAAAGAACACACCAGATTAATTCTTAATGTGAATGATATCATATATTCTCCTAATGCATACTTACACTGAGTGTGCATATAAGACCCAAGGTAAGGTACCAGCAAAAACAAAACACCTACGCATTCTGAGAAAGACAGCCATGATAAGAACACTGTCCAAAGAGATGCCTAAACTTTTCCAACTCATTTTAATGGTGACGCGAAATAATAATGTTCTGTTTACTAATATCCTGTCGACAAACTAATAATTTATGGCACGCATTTATGTATGGACACGACCCAAATGCCAGTGGCACGATAGATAAATACCGAATGAACGTGCTCCTGTGTGTGCTATTATCATTATAAAGATATAAGAAGACTGCAGATCAATTGAACGGCTGATTACAGTCACTCTTTAAGAAGAGGAGAAGGGATGCTTTGTGACGTTTAGCTGTTGAGCAGTTTATATCAGAGCTAAATAAAACAAAGTCGCTTTATCTGTCCCTGTGTATATCCCTATGTATGCTTAAATCTTTAAAACTAGGCAAAGAATTTTGATGCGGTTTTTTTACAACAGTAACATCATTGCACCTATGTGAAGCAGGTCGGTGGTTATCCTATAATCTCAATTGACTTTTATAAAGCGTAGCCCAAATTAAATTGTGAAATCAAAATATTTAAAAAAAAAGCCAACTCAACTACCACATCGGAACTATCTGGAATTCCATAAAAGATCTTAAGATCTTGATGTATTTGTTAGAAGCTGACAAAAGGAAAGGGATTTATGCGATTACCGCAAAATTTCCGATAGGACAAATGCTATTTATATAACAATCGCTACAATCGCTTAGTATTCGTTTCTAAGGAAAATTCGAGGGTCCTTAACCCCACCCAATTCTGTCCCAAGGGCTATGAAAGTTTCCGAAAAGATTTTCTAGTATCTTCGTGTATTAGGAAAACGGGTACAAAGGACCGAAAAACAAGGATACATGACATTGAACTTTCCCGGCAAAAGAGCCATAGTCAAAATAGTAAAGACTTTTCAGGGAACATGAATAAAAACTATTTTGACATTCATTCATACACACAAAGTCATACAATGACATTGAATAAAATACTTTAACATGTGATGTAGATGTTTTTAATATGTGTTAGTTAAGTTCCATTGACGTCAAGTTTTCAAGCCTTGAGTGATGTATACTGATTGCGATTGTGGCAAAACCGAGAATTTTTAATTGCGGTTAAATTAACGAATTGGGAGGCGTAACAGATTGATTTTTACTATCTGGCAAATAAGTGAAGTTGATAAAGATAGTATTTGTTAGTGAGACGAATACTTTCAACTGAATAGTTAATAATTTATTGTCTACAAAAGTGCTCTAGTTAATAGCGAAAAAGAATCTGAGCAGTAGACAAATGGAAAGTTTAATTATAGGACCGAGCTATTTAAATATTTCCTATAAATTTCTAAAACAATAAGGAAAATTGCAACGAAATCACGTAGATTTCTTGTTTACAGCTCAATCATAATTGCATTAAGAACAAGTGATCATTCTGCGGAAAAATGAGGACAGAAATTGTGCGAAAGCCTTCGACACAGTTCCTTGAATCATCCACAGATAGAAAACAATAGGTATCACTGTGACTCACGTCTGCTGTGTCCAAAAACACGGCCAAACAAATCACTCAGATCATCGACCGAAGCGTGACTGAAACACTTTAAGACCAATCAAAACCCTACCCTAAATCCTAGACAATAGAGTTTCAAAACCATGAACACGAAGCCTAATTATAAAATGAACTCGGACAATCGGTCATGGCAAGAGAAATCCAGTGATTTGAACCTGCATTTCAAATGATACTTTGTTGGATTGATTTAGAGATTAGTTTCGAGTGTAGTTGTTGATGACCACCCCTTTAGAGACAAATGGTAGCTAAAACATATGCTAGCATGGAAAAACTTTCTTAATGGGTCTTTGTTACACCGACCCAGTTATTTCATAACAGAACATCACGTGCGATTTATACCTTAAAGGGTAGGTAGAGGTGAACCTTAGTACACACACCCATTTTAGTTAGTAGTATTAATTTAGGACTTACGAGCACTTATTCTTATTCTATTGGACCCATTTCTACGGTAATCAGTTTTATGTTTCGACTAATTGACCGAACCTGAACAAAGGACAGCCTAATCAACAATGCCACCACAATAAAGATTAGGGAGATCAAGAGTCGGTCTCATTTAGTCCTTTCTCTAGACATTAAATATATAATCAAGTTGATCTTAATGTATATGCAATCTCGCAATCGCTCAAGTGTGATCCACAAATTACATCAACGCGTCACAACAGCTTTCGCTCTAGTTCCATCACCTCTGCACTGAATGTCCTGAGCAAGAATTTACATTCATCGCGGAATGTTACAACATTGGACAAATGCCAAAATTCCATAATTAATGCGCAGAATTTACATCAAACTGTAAGAAACAAAACAGGGACTTGAAGCTAAATTCAGACTTATCTAAAAAGAGAGAGATCTGCGCATGAGTCTTAATAATGCAATCAATTACTTGATATATTCAGTTTACTGTAATAAAATCTCTACTAGTTTTCAGTCACACCAGGACTCATTTTAATGTTAACTAGCTACTCTCACGCGGGTTCACCTGGTGCTCGCTCCATTTGATTGTATCGTGACGTTTTATTGCCTATATCACTCAGGAACATTGTAGCTATATATCAGTGTAAGAATTTTGGCAATCCGACCAGCGGTTCCAAAGATTACTCCCTATATACAAACTTACAAATTTTACCTCTTTATAATATTAGTACCTATAGATATAGGTACTAATATTATACCTATAGATATAGTACTTAGAGCTTTCTCTCGTATAGTTACTTACTTAGTTCGTGTAAGCCGAATAATTCAATTAAGTTATGGCCTATTTCACGACGTCTCTATAGCTACTATCTACCACATGAATTTGAATATCGAACGAAATATGTTTGTAGTTCAAACATATTTCGTCTTAAACATACGTTTATCGAGTAGTTTATATGAGGGTGGTGAAACAGACATTTTGTCATTAAAAAATTATGTACACTTTCTTACACCTTACAAAAATATTCATTCGTTCAGTAAGTATTGCATTTGAATTTTATACTGCGTAGATGCTGCATTGTCTCCACAAGACAAACACGTGAATTTCTATCAAACTGCATTAAATTATTGCAATCAGTTTCCGAGATCAGAGTTCACGAATAATTGGTAAATTTCTATTTAGCAATAATTGTATTACTTTATTGCTTTGTACGGTGTATTCTAATTACAATTCAGACAAGTGTTTCTGGATGAGTATTCAGAATAAATATGTTTTTTTTTCTGTTAGGTAGTGTAAATTGCGTGCAATTCATATATTTACCAACGCATCTGTAACTTTGACCTTATTACGATAACATGTAGTACGGATAAAACGGATAAATACCTACAAGATATGGGATTGTATATAGTTACGTACTCAGCACGCAAAATAATAATGGCCACGCTCTTACTTTCAACTTTAAATTGGATGTGTACCCTCCACGCTCCGATACTGTGAGTATTCTTTAAACAATTAACCCTAATATCCTGCTTCGCGAAAATTTACGATTTTTATATTTAGAAATTCGATATTACAGACAAGAAAATTGCCACTTTTTTAAATTAGCTTTTTGCTTTTGTTCTGTGTTAACGTCGATTGAAAGAATGTAGTCAGAGGATGAACACCACGGTGGCTTTAACCGGTAAGAGATCCCTCGTCAGCCTCACAGTAAGGAAAGCCTTTGAGGATTTTTATCATGCTACATCCTCAATGTTGCTTTCTCTGTCCCTATAAGTATGCTTAAACCTTTAAAACTACGCAACGGATTATGATACCGTTTTTGTAGTAGCTAGAGTGATTTAATAGGAAAGTTTATATGGAATAACATAATCCATAATACTTGGTACTTGGTGCTAGCGTGGCATCCGTGCGAAGCCAGGGCGGGTCATGTTATAAAAAAACATTGTCATTCTGTTGAATTTTAATGAAGTTTTATATTTATTATTTCATTGTATACTTATTAGAATCATACAAATGCAAATTTTAATATTAATGTTTATGAATAAATTCGATTCGTTAATAATAAATAATATCGGTTTATTAATCACGTAGGTACGGTATGATCACGCCGGTCACGCGCAGCAGCACGTGTCAGAATCATTCAACAATTTCTGAACAGCTGCAACAGCTGTATGAAATCGTTTAGTATTGTTATGTTAGTGCTAATAAAACTCCATAATATACGATTTCAAGGCGTTTTATTGTGCATTACTTTATCTCTGATTAACGTGAAATTAGAGACGCAGCAGTTTATAACGGAGCGCTATGAAAAGATGACAGCTTTTTATACTAAAATAATATTTTCTATTCAACAACACGTGTTTAAACGCGTGAGTAGTAGATAAACAATTTTAGGTACAGACACCTACTACAAATATCGATCCGGAATCAAAATGGTTATCTGCCATCTATTGATAACGGACAATGAAAGATTTATCAGATTAGAAGGATACTACGCCTACAAATTATTTGCACAGTTTTTATCGTAAAAATTTTTATAAAAAAACGCTTTGACTCTGCAAAACGGATTGGAAACGTCGAATAAGAAATAAGATTTAGTATTCGCAATGAATAAATTACACAAACTTAATGGCTATAATAATAATTGGGTGTATTGCGATACTTTAGTTGCCAAACAAAACGTCGCGCGTCGGGGTATTTCAGTAGCGACTCGCTGTTGGCTAAACAGTTACGTAGTCCTTGAATTCAATTTGTTTTTTTTTATAAGCTAATCTGGATCCTCACACGTCACAAGCTATTCCTACATCAGGTTAAGGACATTAAGTTACAATTATGGTGAAATAGTGAAGCTATGACTATGAGCGGGTAGAATTACATATTAATTTTTCTGGAAAGGATCTGATGCGTTCTACAATTTCTTTTCCCACATGAATTGCATATGAAAACAGATGTTTTACCAGTGATGCAATTAATATCAGAAGAGAAGTCGGTAGCAGACTGAATGAATCATTTATTTTGAAGCAATAAAAAGCAGTGAATCGATCATCGTCAATAAACGCTTATCATAGAAACATAACATTGAGTTCATACAAACGAGATAACATTCACGTGTTGTTAATTTATATTTATTGATATCACACTATCTAACTAGACGTGTGATAGGCAGACAGCCTGTGAGGTAGTAACCTGTACCTAGTACACCGGTTGGAAGCCCTTAGCATTCACATCACGTAGAGTGAAAAGAGTCCGATAATGGAGCTCACACAAACGCGGCGTGGCTGTGTGATTGCCCCTCGTGTCTATAATTCAGAATTATTGTAACTGAATACAGCGCCAAAGTGCAGAGGGTGAAATAAAAAGTTATTAGGCACCTAACTAAATGTTTAGTGGCCATCTTTTTCTTGAAACTACGAACTTAAAATACGTGGTGTACTGTTTTTACCCAATAAAATATTAAATACCTTCCTTTAGATAGTTAATAAGATATATATTGTATATCTGCTACGCACTTCTCTCGCTTTCCTTGTCGTTTTAATTTAGCTTCAAATAAAACAATAGATTTAACTAAAGCTCCCGGAAATTACTTTTTTGATTGAACTTTGGCCCAGAATTAATAAGGGTTTTTGTTTTCTTTTTCTTTATTAATATGATACTGGCCACCAAACGCGTCAACTTGATCGTACGCAGCGCCAATTTTTGTCCCGTCTATTTACGCAAAAAAATATTTATTTTTTTAATTATTTCATTGCCATACAATGATATTACCACATATGTGACCAACTACAATAATATTATGATTTACGAGGTTATTTTCGTAATACACAATATTCAGGAAAACTATACTATATACCTGTATTGTGTAGATAGATTTACACCTTATTATATTATTGAGTTAGCTACAGAGGAGAATTTGTAGTATTATATTCAAATATCTCACTATTATATATTTACGTTTTGTATCAAAATTTAGCCATTTTAAAGAAGAATATTACCTATGTTACATTTATATTATAATACTTGCAGATAGATATATTCCGAATGAAATATCAACACAATAACTAGTTGTTAGCCTTGAAATGTCACAAAAATTTTAATATCTTTGTGAAATTGTTATTATACTATTATTTTATATTCTATACTTATTTTTAAAGATTCTGTATGCATAGATGGACAATGATAAGCTTGTGTGTCAATTAAATTGCTTAAGATTTATCACCATATAATTATGTTTTGTATGTTGTAATAAATTTAAACTTATTTACAATCTTGTCAGAATACACTTGTCAGAACTTTATTATTTCTTTTTAATTTTATTGCCATTTTTCGTTTTTTGTATTAAAATGTTTGCATTCAATTCCACAGATAATATGAAAGTGATTTAGAAGATGGCAACAAGCACATAAAGCACTAATTAGAAGCAATGCTGTAAGTAGTTGCATGTGCAATCAAGTTATTTACATAATCATTTTATCAGAATTACATTCCAACAATGAAAACAGTGGAACAATAAGAAACACTCGCCAATAATATTTCATACTCTGAATAAAAAAAAATTGTTTATCTATATTTTTCTCATAAGAAAATTAGTGGAAAGTAGATTTAGGACATAGACAAGAATGTTTTTTTATAAGCTAACACTTATAAGTAGAAAGGTTTTATGCTTATTAGATTTAGTTTTTGTAAGGTATTAAACAATTCACATTGTGTAACTTTACTGCAAAACAAATGTGTCACATATCTATGACCTATGTTTAGAATATTATAAGTTCTGGTTGTTTATGTTTTGCATATTATTCGTTTTATCACAGTTAGGATAAACACAAGTCTTATAAAATGTAAACAAGATAATTAAATAACTGCAGGAAATGGTTCAATGATAATATAAAATAATAATGGATAACTTGTCAATGATAAACAAAAAGACCAACTAAATTACTAAAATAAGAAATGTAGAGTAAATTAAAAAATAAATATCTTAATTGAAAACATTATTCAATAAGTTTTCAACAAATGTAATCATTTTTTAAGTACCTTCTTTGTGGAGCCTGTTATGTAGGTATAGTGACCTTCACAAGTTTGCCAAAAAAGCCAGCTATTGCATGATAGTACTTTGCATAAACCTTGTAGACACAATGCAAATATTGCTTACCCTACAGATACAAATTATAACACTACCATTCCTTAATAGTTTCATAGACAATTTTCCTTGTCAATATAATAAAAGGATGAACAGTCAATCAGATTATTCTTATGTAGTTATAAATAATTAAGTAAATTCAAATCAGAACTAAATTATTATTGAATGACAATTATTTTAAATATGGCTATTTAAAAGTTAGGAAAAGTGTCTCAGAAATAATTTAAAGAAGTGTTGTTGTTGGTATTCAAGCACAAATATGAGGGCACATTCTTCAAAATAATGAAAAATACTGCTACAAAGTAAAACACATTATAAAACAGGGGATCATCATTGTGTTTTTTTCAATTAATGTTTATGATGCATGCAAATATTTTGGAGGTGAATGTTGCCCAACTTAGCTGTCATTTGATTGAGAAATCATGTTGACCTAACTTAATTCGGTGCATACTTGGAAAGTTCTTTTCTCTAAGATATAGTCTGGTGGCCTTGCCACCACAATGATACCGTAAATATTGACAGTTATCATCTTAAAGTATTACTAAATACTTACAGCCATCACCATCTCGAAGGTGAACTTGTGCACCCTTACGGGAGATTGATACTCTTGCACCATTTTTCACAAATATAAACACACAAATAAAAATAAAAGAATACAAGGACTTCACAATATTTTCAATATAAACAGTTTTACACAGTAGTCATACTGCCCGAACTCCTTTCACTCGCGATCCGTACGACAACAATATATTCGTACGTCGAGTCAGAATTCCTCCGTGGCGTGAACTTGAAATAAAATCCACGGATTGAGTCGGATTGAAACAAAATGGAATGTTTGCCCTGAAGTTAGTTACAAGTCAAATTGATTGACATTGACAACTGCTGATGTTACCAATGTTCAATAAAAAGTAATTTTCGACAGCTGAATTTTGTTTTTATTCGGATTATTAAATCAATGTAGTTTTTTACTAAATTAGAAAAAAACAAGTTGATTATTTATGAATTAACAAGAAATGCCGAAGAATTTTATTGAAAAATTATATGAAAATTAACCATTAAAAGAAAACATTTAAACAAACTTCTATAACTTTTAATTTATTTGATTGATTTTACAAGAATTGTAATGATAATAAATTAAACATTTCAAGATACAGCCTCAAAATAAAAAAAGTCAATGGTAGTTTCTAGAATCAAAACCTTCAATTTCGTTACTGGACCGCAGATTTGAATGTTGCTGTAAATAAAAAACTGAAATTTACAAATAGTAAAAGTTTAAAGTTCTTTGCTTCAAGTTGCAGATCGCGAAACAGGTTCTAAATTATATAAACCTAGAAGTGAAATTATCAGTGACTAAATTAAATCATTAGAATCATTATCAATCACGAACTACCAGAAAAATAACCAAACAAAATATCATTTCCGCAGGTCATTTTCCACGTAATTCGCAACTAACTTCAACACAGTGAGTAAGCGGGCCTTGACGAAGCGCGAATGTCGCTTTCTATTAATTGAAGATTATTTCTTCTGAATTTATAACGCAAAGCAAAATTCTGGCAAAATTGTGCGCGTTCGTGCCCGATGTCTAGTGCTGAAGTCGCCGATAATTCCGTTGACCCCCCGGCGAAAAAGCGGAAACTAAATACAGGAGAATCACGTTCCAACAACTCGGCAATGGCGAACAATGGGACGCGCGTGGAAGATGAGATTGACGAGAGTTTGTACTCCCGGCAACTCTACGTGCTTGGTCACGATGCCATGCGGCGGATGGCCAGCTCGGACGTACTTATTTCGGGACTTGGGGGTCTCGGTGTGGAGGTAGCTAAAAATGTGATCCTCGGCGGAGTGAAGTCAGTGACTCTTCATGACGAGCGGATTTGTACGTTTGCCGACCTATCGTCCCAGTTCTACTTGTCTGAAAAGTCAGTCGGACAAAATCGGGCTTTAGCATCCTGCGAACAGCTGTCAGAGCTGAACCACTATGTGCCTACTACTGCGTATACCGGCCCGCTTACTGAGGACTTCTTGCGCAAGTTCCGCGTTGTGGTGCTCACTGGTGCTTCCTGGGCCGAGCAGGAGCGTGTGGCGGCCATTACACATGCCAACAACATTGCTCTCATCATAGCAGATACACGAGGGTTGTTCTCCAGGGTATTCTGCGACTTTGGACCTGAGTTCACAGTAGTAGATGTGACTGGGGAGAACCCTGTGTCCGCGATGATATCGGGCATCACACATGAGTATGAGGCAGTGGTGACCTGCCTTGATGATACCCGTCACGGCTTGGAAGATGGTGACTATGTCACTTTCAGTGAGGTTTGTATACTGATTTCCTAATTTCCTAATGCTTTGTCATACTGAAATTTTTCTATATCTATACCCGGTGAGGTGAATTGAATCAGCAATATTAAATTGTCTAACCCTTTATCACTGAGGTTCAATGTCAATGTTATGGTGTTATTTATTAATGTGATTAAGGCTATCATTAAACACACATGACCTTTAATTTTGAACGGCAAATATTTTGAGAATCTGCCAGAAACACTAAGATATCAACAACTCTGTCACATTTAAAATAAATTCATGACTAATAAATCATTAATGAACAATTTCAGCGCTAAGGCTTATGATTTTAGAGTAACAATATTTTTTGCTTTACCTACATAAAAAATTATAAATAAATATTGGTTTTCTTAGATAAAGGAAACATTTTTCATATTGTGGTCTGATAAGCCTATAGATTGCTACAATAATATAACCATTGAGTACCCATTACAAAGATCAGTTTACAATTACAATTAGATGGTGATGCATCTGCATTCCTACAGCTGCAATTATTGCAGTTGTACTTGAAACAACTGCATTTCCATGAACAGACATGTAACATTGACTGCATTCTTCATAAACATGTTTTAGAATCTATAACACAACTATATTATGTTTAAGATTTAGAGAAGAAATATTTGTTGCTTGCATCCTTATAAGATAGTTGTTGCTAAACTTATATACAGGAGATTTGTCAACTACTTCCAATAAGAAACTTATAGGGTTTTTTTTTATTTCTATTTTATAATGGACAGGCATTTCGTGGCTATCACTTTTGGTGCTAAATGATGTTGCAACCTAGGATGGAGACATGCTTACCCATGAGCAACTTATTCACTTGGACATTGAAGACCCTTTTAAGTACCTTTAGGGGAGAGGCAGATTTTTTATTATGAAGTTGTCAGCCAATGTAAACAATACACCAAATGAAATAAGAAATCTTACATGCCTAATAAGAAAAATGATGTTTGTTAGACATAATACAATGGCTATTTTAATTTCCAGGTCCAAGGAATGGTAGAACTGAATGGTTGTGAGCCACGCAAAATCAAAGTTTTGGGCCCATACACTTTCAGTGTTGGTGACACCACCAATTTCTCTAAATACACCAGCGGAGGTATTGTCACACAAGTCAAAATGCCCAAGAAGATCAGCTTTAAACCACTGAAGGAATCTTATGCCAACCCAGAGTTTGTCATTGCCGACTTCGGCAAATTTGACTATCCACAGCAATTGCATGTCGCCTTTGCTGCTCTCTATAAATTCGAGGAGACCGAAGGTCGTCTTCCCAAGCCTTGGTGTGATGCTGACGTAGCTAAGTTCATGGATTATGTGCAGAACATTGATGTGTTTAAAAATGGAGAGATGGAACTTAACTCAGAACTGCTCAATACTTTCTGCAAGGTTTGTTACATTTTCCTAACATTGAAATTAGATGCAGTCTATAATATCTGTTTAATATTCTAACCTTTAAATACTAGGTATCTGCTGGTGATCTGAACCCAATGAATGCTGCTATTGGTGGAGTTGTTGCACAAGAGGTGATGAAGGCTTGCTCTGGCAAGTTCCACCCCATTGTCCAGTGGCTTTACCTGGATGCCATTGAATGTCTGCCCAAAAATGACCCGAACTTGAATGAAGAGAACTGCAAGCCTGTTGGATCTAGATATGATGGCCAAGTTGCTGTGTTTGGCAAACACTTCCAGAAGAAACTTGGAGATTTGAAGTATTTCATTGTGGGTGAGTAATAAAAACCTAATCATTGGTCTCTGATTCCAGGGATTTATACAATAATATATTTAGAATAAAATAATGACATCAATACTAAATTTTGATCTTTTATGGCATAAATAGCTGTCTTCATGAGTAACAGGTTTACTGGCTAATGTTACGTCGTCGTTTCAAACGAATCGCGCTAATTACTTTGAGCAACACAAATAATTTTGGATATGAATGCTAAACAAAGGTTATTGACCCTTTATGTATCAAGGCGTTTTATTTGCATTAATTGCTTGTCTTATCGTTATAACGCGCGCAAAGATTAAAAACGAGTTCATCAATAACGAGTCTGCATGACTAGTACGAAAATAAGATTTGGGAAGATTCTTACTCACTAGGGGAAATCTGTTTTGTGTTTCAAGGGTACAGCTATGTTATCCTTTCATTCAGTAAGCGGACTAAGTAGATTGTTTAGCTTTAGGTTACTATTAGGAAAATAAAGTGTAATGTGTCTCATGTTGCCGGACGCGACTTATATATAGATATATTTACAAAATATCAATAATACTACATACATAGAAATAAAATTACATGTATATAATAAAAAACACATAAATTACGGCAAAAATCTAACTAGTATTTTTGGCATTTCTGTCTGTTTCTTCCGGTTCTTCTTCTTCAATCTTTTGTATAGCTGGACCGATTTTGACCGGATTTTATTGATAGATGCTGTAACAAGAAATAACATAGACTACTTTCAGTTTAGAAAAAAAAAAATTGTCTTAATAAAATATGGAGTTCCCACGCGATAGCGATAGTGGAATTTTACGCGAATGGAGTCGAGTGGTCGAGCTCTGTACTCAAAGCACTAAGATGTAGATATGTTATAATAGTCGGCAACAGAACATCTTAGTAACCTGTTATTATTATATTATGTTGTTTTGAACGTATAACGTATTAAGTACCGGAAAACCCGTTAACAAAGGCTTTGCAATAATTACAACGATATTTTTTCTAACGTTCGTTGTTGTTATGCGCACAACGTGACTCATTATCTTGATGAGACATGCTACATGTTATTCCCGCTTTATAAAGAGAGTTTGTTATTAGTTTTAATTAAGTGATTTATGGAAACATCATCAACCTTTTGTTTAAAAACGTAAGTGCATTAAAAACCTGTTCAACCATTGTCGCTATTCATTTATTTTATTACTGATAATATCCAATTACATTAGCGACAAGAAAAAATAACATAATTATATTATACTAGCTTTCTTCGCGTGGAATAGTGCCTTCCTGCAGATTTTTGGTTTAAAAACTATCCTATGTCCTTTGTCGTGTTCCAAACTATGTCTGTAACAAATTACACACAAATCGGTTCAGTACTTTTGGTGTGAAGAAAAGACAGACAGACAGAGTTACTCTCGCGTTTATAATATTAGTTTGGATAGCTATATTCGCTCGCAAAGCCTTTGTTATAAATAATATTGTCATTAACAATATTGCTATTGGATGTAACAGTGTGTATTGAGTGGTTAATGCCACTGAAAAAAAGATTTAGAAATAGCCACATTGAAGTAAATTATATTTTTTTTAGTTATTTTTTCGTTCATTCTAAGAAAGAATACCTATACAACATCATACACACACGTGTCGCGTGAATGAGTGGTCATTAATGTCGCGACAAATAAACGATTTTATATTGATTGAACACCGGCTACAAAGCACGAACTATCGAGCTTCGGGTAATTCTAGCACTCAAGGCCCCTTACTATCGATTCCAGTAAGCTCAATTGCTCCAACCACTAATTATTTAAGTAGTACGTCGTCTAGAATTCTAAATGCAATGCGAAACTTCTCATTTAGATTAACCATATACATATAAATATTTAATTAATTCACAAAAAAGTCTAATACACATGTTACTTATTCTTTCGGTAGCATAAAACAATGCGATGAACTTCTACTACGGAGCGCTGACGAAAATCTATTATTTGGCGTGAATTCTATTTTGCATAATGATAACACCTTATCGAAGTTAATATGAGTAGCAAAGATAATGTACTACAATCCAAATGTACTATATGTGTGAAAAAATAAGCACAGATACTTACACAGATTTATCTGTGTCCTTTCTTTAAATATGTTGTTTTAATAATAATTATCTTTTTGTTGTTCACTCATGTCTATAACTTATGACATATCATCATCATCAAATATGTATATAGTGATAAACCCTTGTTTTCTTTCATCATAAGGTGCTGGTGCTATTGGCTGTGAGTTGCTGAAGAACTTTGCGATGATCGGTGTGGGAGCTGCCGACGGACAGATCACCGTCACCGATATGGATCTCATTGAGAAGTCTAACCTCAACCGACAATTCCTCTTCCGACCCTACGATGTGCAAAAACCTAAATCTAGCACTGCTGCGAAGGTAATATCATTAAACAGCCTAGTGCTAGGGTGAAGTACCAATAAAATGTGTAGTAAGATTACTGCATTAAAATCTAACAAAACTAAATATCTTATTAGTCTGTACAAATTAAACCTTATTAGTCTGTACAAATCTTTCAATTTCAACAAATTCATGAAACATCATCCGCATCTTCCAGGTGATAAAACGCATGAACCCTGACGTGAATGTAGTAGCCCAGGAGAACCGAGTCTGCCCGGAGACTGAATCTGTTTACGATGACGCATTCTTCGAAGCACTGGATGGCGTCGCCAATGCCCTGGACAACGTAGATGCCCGAATCTACATGGACAGGCGTTGTGTTTACTATAGGAAACCACTGCTGGAAAGTGGTACCCTTGGTACTAAGGGAAATACACAGGTCAGTTCGTTTTTTCAATGTTTTATAGAATTTATCACACATTTATGTTTTTGTCATTGAGACATGAAATAATCCATAAAGGCAAATTTCGCAAAAACTCGGAGACTTTAATCTATCTAACAAAAATAGACTTTATGACTGCAAATATAGAAAACAATTTACTGTTACAGGTTGTTGTCCCGTTCTTGACTGAATCATACAGCTCTTCCCAAGATCCCCCTGAAAAGAGTATTCCGATCTGTACACTGAAGAACTTCCCGAATGCTATTGAGCACACTCTGCAATGGGCACGTGATGAGTTCGAGGGTCTTTTCCGCCAGGCCGCTGAGCATGCCGCTCAGTACCTCCGGGATCCACATTTCTTGGACAGGACCTTAAAACTGCCAGGCAGCCAACCTCTCGATGCTATCGAAAGTGTTAGGGTAAGACTGTTGTGAAATTGTTCTTAGGAAATAGTTTAACAGTAATTTCAGCATTAAATATATTTAATAATCTGATTTTCTATTTACCAGAATGCAATCCAGAACCGACCGGTCAGCTTCGACGACTGCGTAGCCTGGGCCCGCCTGCACTGGGAGGCTCAATACTCAAACCAGATCAAACAGCTGCTATACAATTTCCCTCCTGACCAGCAAACCACCAGTGGAGCTCCCTTCTGGTCTGGTCCCAAACGCTGCCCTTCGCCACTTACCTTTGATCCATCTGATGAGCTCCACTTGGACTATGTAGTTGCTGCTGCTAATCTGAGAGCTGCTGTCTATGGTATGGCTCCATGCACAGATAGAGAAAAAATTGCAAAAGTGGCTGCTAGCATTCAGGTGAGCAATTTGATTATTTCATTACTAGCTTTTGTAATATATATTCTCACAAAACTGAATATTTATATTAGTATTAGTAGGATTAAGGTGGATAAATTTTGATTATTGAAAATATTATTAATGAATATGAATAAGAAACCTTATATTTTTATTAATCTCAACTCATTCCTAATCCTTCTTAACAGGTTCCAAAATTCAGCCCGAAATCTGGTGTGAAAATCGCCGTGACAGACGCGCAGCTGCAGCAAAACAACGACGAAATGGACCACGATAGGGTAAAGAACATCATCGCGGAGCTGCCGTCACCAGCAAATCTCGGCGCACTCAAGATTACTCCGCTAGAGTTCGAAAAAGACGATGATACCAACTTCCACATGAGCTTTATCGTCGCTGCCTCCAACCTTCGCGCAGCCAATTATAAAATTCCTCCTGCAGATAGGCATCGCTCCAAACTCATTGCTGGGAAGATCATCCCCGCCATTGCCACCACCACGTCTGTGGTCGCCGGCCTGGTCTGCCTTGAGCTGTACAAGCTCGCACAGGGATTCAACACCCTTGAGGTCTTCAAGAACGGTTTCGTCAATCTTGCCCTCCCCTTCTTCGGTTTTTCGGAACCCATAGCTGCCCCAACAAATACTTATTACGACAAGAAATGGACGCTTTGGGATCGCTTCGAAGTCAAAGGCGAGATCACCCTCCAACAATTCCTAGACTACTTCAAGAATGAGCATAAACTAGAGATTACGATGTTGTCGCAAGGAGTGTGCATGCTGTACTCGTTCTTCATGCAGGCGACTAAGTGCCAGGAGCGACTGAACCTACCGATGTCGGAGGTGGTGACGAAGGTGTCGAAGAAGAAGCTGGAGCCGCACGTGAAGGCGCTGGTGTTCGAGCTGTGCTGCAACGACGAGGACGGCAACGACGTGGAGGTGCCCTACGTGAAGTACACGCTGCCCTAGGCGCGTCCCGCATGTCACGCGCCCGGTTGTACACTGTCGTCGACCATGTGCTGAGCAGGTCTACTTAGAGCATAATAGTTACCATTTGCGGAGATGGTTGTATAACCCATAATAATATAGGAGGCCGAGTGAGTCGCTCGCGAGTGCTCGTGGGCCGTGTCGGGCGATGGACGAGATGTACAGATAGTGTTTACATGTGTGACGTTTTATTTTGTGCTTCAGAACACGCTTTTTGTCAACTTATTGATTCATATATTTATAGTAGTTTATAATTAATTGCTCACGTCTCATCAATCGCGCTAGCATTTATTCTTTTTTATTCATCTCGTGATACCACAATAGGTTTTACACCAAAATTATTGGATATTTTTAAAGTTGAAATCAGATGGGTCTGTATATGGAAAGAAATAAATAAAATTTGAGCAAATTTTTGTTTTATTATTTTGTAGCTACATATTATGTAGATAGACTGATTTGTCCTTTTTTTAGTAGGTATGTTGAGGAGATAGGAATATGTATAGCAAACCACATATTTATATTTTTGTTTATTTATTGCATAAAAATACAGTACAACCATGTTTCTAGTTGACGTAAACAACTTTGGAAATATTGTGACTTAATTTTAATAGACTTCCATTTCACGCAATTGTTTTAATGTGAGAGAATAGGAAGGCGATTACCACAGATTTTTATGTAGAGATTACTTACTTGACAACAAAGTAGTAAATGTAGTAACAGAATGATTGAAATACGAGAAAAGTTAATAACAAGATCTGACTAGAGAGTACAGTTAGCACTGACATACAACCTGGATCAAAAGTACAATAGAATATTTAGAAATGTTAAAACTCAAGTTGAAAATAACGAATCACGTGAATCAACTGGAATAAGCACTACTAGTAGGCGCAACGAGACGTCGTCTTCTAGCTTATAGCTCTTTTCAGTTAATATGTACAGTAAGACTTTATTTTTATTACATTTAGTCTCACGTAACTAGAATGTACTATCAACAGTTGGGCAACCACAAAATAATTCCTAAACAATGGTATGGTACAGAGATAAAAATGGATTTATATTGTGTTACAAACATGACAACAATTAGCTATTTTCTCTAAAACTGATATCGTAAATGTCTACAAAATTATTGTAAGAGTTATTTCATTTGGAAGCACTCTGTATTTAATAATTTGGCAATGAGTTGCTGCGCTTATTTGTAACATAATATAAATCTAACCTTAGATAAAACATAATTATTTATAAGATATAGGTAGCTGATATATTATTTCCAAGTTCTATGTAAACCCTATCTAAATATTAAGGCGACTTAAATGTAACATGTCTTTTATACTGTTAGGTGTAACTATTTACATTAGCCATTACATACAGGTGCAAATATAAACAATTTTATACAAAGTTAATGTGTGTAGTTAAAATATCTTATTACAACCCGATGCTATGGCAATTAATATTATGAACGGCTAATGTAAACGTTGTAAAGCGTGTCGATTATATAAAACTAGCATTTTCATTACACCAAGTGTAAGTTCTTAAATCCAAAGATTTATTATAAAACTTATGATATTTTTTGGATTTATCGCCACGACATAAAAAGGCCTCTTTAGCATTTCATATTCAAACCTTAGATTTGCTATCTCATTCTCACTTTATAATCAAAATAAAAATGGAAAGTTAACAGAACCATTTCATGATTATTTCACGCTGGTGCGGATAAAACGGTGATATATTAGTATTCGCCGACAACAACACCACGAAATATTGTAAGTAAAAATCACTTGGTATTATTTTAATTTACAGTATTATTATAACTTAATAATAAAATAGCTCACATAACTGGTAGGCGAGATACTTCAACTAGTTTCAAGGCACGCTGGGAACCCATATCTTGAACATCAGCCAACTAGGAGTACCTAACATGGGTTGAAACAAGCTGAGTTATCAGCACACGTGAGAGAACCGATAAAATATTCAATTATTTTAATGTCTCACAAAAGTTCCAGTACAACGATAAAAAAATATCTGTTTATCCAAAATATATGTCCTGCAATCGAGTCCTAGATTTATAGCAAAATACAATTTTGAATTATTAAATTTTCTTTCAATAGCGACTCGGATCATCAATTTTACCCTAGTTTACGTATGTGCGTGTGTAGGCACTTTGCTTTGGAAGCATAAAACGGAACAGTTAGGTACAACCATAATTTTAATTACATTACTTAAATGCTAATAATAAATAATTTTGTATCGGACCACGTTTTGTTGAATTTGTTCATGACAATGTTTCTTTCACAATTCTGTGTGAACAGGACAAATTTAAACCTAATTTTAATTTAATTAATTGTAATAAATTTTAAATGCACTTTAGTTAGCCTAATTACATTTAGTGTACAAAAGAGAGCGCATAGGCGGAGTACAGAAGGAAAGCTCGACTTTTTATTGAAATTAAATACAAGTAGGTAGGTACTTATATTTTTCAATATTTTTAAGCATAAGTATAATAAATAATTTCTGTTAACGTTCATACCGTGTTAATACACAACATTATTACAATTATTTCGTAGTTATCAATGTTTTTGTAAGCCAAAGTTTATTTATAGGAATTATAGCTCCAGTATATTATATCGCAATTTTCGAAAAATGATCGCTCAAAATACAAGTATCAAAATAATGTAAAAAATTAAGCTGCAGGTATTTATATTTGAAGTTTAAAGGTTGACGCCGCGACGCTGCGCCCAGCAGTGGGCAAAGAAGCGCGGCAGGCAGCTGGGCGGCGTGGGTGAGGGTCAGCGCCAGGGGCGACGGTGTGGGCTGGCCATGTGGCGGGACATCGCCACTCCGGACCTCTTGTCCTCGCTAAAAGTCTCTGCGATAACACATCCAATGCTGTATCGACAACTTTTAAAATTAAGAATCAACTTTACATTTGAACGAGAAACGGGAACAGTTCATCGGCATCAATTAAAATCCTAATAGATTATTTCAGAGTTAAATTATGTATTCCAAGTACTTATTTTTCACATATATGATTTACGAGTACTGCTGAAATCATCAGATTAAGCGTTATAATAGACATTTACGTGCAGTGTTTAATTTAATAGCAATTAACATTGACACGCAATAAAATCAATAAGATTTAAAACCAAACGTTATTAAAGAAAATTTCAACAAACACACTGACAAGTTAAATGCAAAAAAAATAGTAAAAGATATTGTGACAATAAGCTCATGCCTTATGACATTGTGATTAGTTGCAATTAATATATTTAAACAAATTAGGTACTGATGGATGAGTGTGCTTCTTATTGAATGACCGATCAGTTTGCATGCCTCAAGGCGAAACAAAAATTAAGCTGGCAACATTATGTAGTTCAGTGTTACCATAGTTAGACTGCGTCATCGGCGACACTGCGGTTGGTCGCTTGGTGCGCGCGGGAAACGCCCCGGAGTGGCTTTGTGACATTACGTCCCTGTTTTAGTATAGTTTCTGTTATAGAGCATTGTGGTTCGGTGAATTAAATATTATGATATCGAATAGAAGAGTCAAAAGAAGTTTTAGCAGGATGATACAAGACCAGACTCTTAAATGAAGTACTTACAATAAGTCTATTTATTTGTTAAGATGGGCTCACCATCACCATATAACCCTTACCTGGATATTGATTTCGATTCGTGTTTATATGCACATTAAAAACAAAAACGATAAATCAATATTATTAGGTTTTGGTCTGTCTAGTTCCTCTCCCAAGAACGCTCAGAACGATTCTCAAAATCCTTTATTGCTTCAAAGTAACAGCAGTGACAAATGATTTACATAAAAAGACTCCACTTTGAGAAGGTTTTGAGCATTCCATTAATTTAAGTAATTATTAGGCTCACGTTTGTTTGAATGACAAGCTGGCTTGACGAGCAGCGAGTGAACGGCGGCGCCCTCTGTCTGCAGCGATCATAGCGCAACGTTCTGCGGCTGTACTCGCCACGAAGGTATCGTGGAGGGAGTAACATGCTGCTGTTATCTGAAAATTTATTTTTTTACTTTGAAGATTAAGTCTTCTGTCTTTTTTACGACTTGAAATCTGTGTTAATGTCATGATACATATACTATGTAACTAATCTATGATAAATACTTAATTTTAAAAACTTTTAATGAATAAATTAGTACTTATAACGTTTACCGAGGTAATAAGTTTAATATGTAGTTAGGTATAAACGCATCTGAAAGAATATTTGAAATCCAAAACCAGTGCACCCTGGACAGTCACAACAAGCTCCTACCTGCTGAATAAGTCGCCGATGGAGGTCTACGTCAGCGCCCCGGATCCCCTCGCGATCCTGATGCAGTTGCAGGGCGCACAGCAGTGCATCTTTAATGGTCTGCACGGTCGACTGTACGCGGTCCGTACGCATCAGGCGACGGACCAGGTAACCCTTGGCTACTGCCACTATTTTGGTTGCAGCTGCACACTGATCGAGACAGTACATAAAATTGTATTGGGAAATAATAACTCATTTCGATAAGACCAGACGATATTGGACACATTTAGCAACATAGGAAATTGAGATATAGGTAAAGCAGAAACATGAAGTTTGCTAAAGAAACATGGAAATAATCCGAAAGCTAAAAAGAAAATAATATTGAGAAATCATTTGTCGATCAAAAGAGTGATAAGATCCATCACAGAAAACAAGAACCGAAATAATTAATTAACATAGCATAACATATATACTAATGTGCAATATTAATAAAGATTTTAATGAAAATAACTAAAATATTAAATAAATTTGAAGTTGCTACTAAACGACACTAAAGCTAACACTAATTACTTTATCTTATTCCCCCCAACGAGGTACTTATTTACCTATGTTTATTTATTTTTTGTGTAATTGTAGTGCTATTAAGTTACCTGTTCTGGTGTTCCCTGGATGTCAAATGTACCCTTCGACATTCGCTTGTTGGTGCTATTTATGGAGTTGTATATAGTTCTCTCCATATTTCGGATGGCATTGTCGGTGGATCTATTCGAGTTTGTTGTAGAAGTCATCAGTGAAGGTCCATGAGCAACTTTAACTTCTTTCCCAAAAACGTTGGTACTGTTGTAAGTGAAGTCGTCGTTGTCGGAGGGAAAGGTAACATTTAAGTCGGCCATCGTGTCGTTCGTTCGATCGGTTAACATCGGCTCGTAGTCCCGGTCTGATGACACACTAGTATCATAGTTTAATTTTCGGGATGTGGGGGTATGTCTCTGAGTCGGAGAACTAGTTCGATTCTTACTGTCTGGCTGTGTCTTTGGAGACACAATCTTGCTGCCATTCTGGCTACGAGACTTGGTAGGTTGTTTCTTAATACTTCCTGTAATATCCCTACTTTTCTTCAGCACATTATCGCACTGGTTAATGTAATGGTTGGTTTCTGTTAATGTAGAAGAAACAGGACTACCCAGACTAGGTTCAGGTGACTTGTAATTAATGAGTTGACTCAGACTGACCGGACCTCTGTCACTTTCGACATGTTTCTCACTCCAAGCCTCCTTCGCCTCAATAGGGGATTTCGGACAGATTGTCTTCAGTTGTTTGAAAAGTAAATTGTTCTGTTCTTCAAAAACTTGCTGAAGAAGCAACTGTTCTCTTTTCTGCTTCTCCACTAAGCTCGCCATTTGTAACAATTGTTGATTTTGTATCTTTTCGTAGAGTTCCCTAACACGAACCGCGGGGTCATCGGATTCTCCTACTATGGGAGGTGCGAAAGCTTGGGGTTGAGCCTTATCTAAGTTGAGAGAAGCACTCACTTTAGGTAAACCTGGATCTTTCACAAAACTGGCACTATTTTTAAACGGACTGGTGGATTTCGGCAAAGACTTAGATAAATTCTCTGAATTGGATATATTACTACATTTCATTACTTTTGGAGGAACATTGCGTCTTTTTTCTGGACTAACGGTTTTTGCTCGTTGCGGGGGTGAGCTCTGGGGAGATTTTTTGATAGCTTGTTTTACGATGGTTTTGTTAGATGCATTTTTATTAAGGTTATGTACGACATTAGTCTGCTTCAGTTCTAGAGCCATAGACGACCATTTCACTTTAGCTGACTCCAGGTCCCAGCTCCTACGCTTCTTGTTCGGACAGCTCAAGTTGGAAACAGATTCGCTCATTGATATTGATGTCATCTCAATACCGGTATTCAGTGATTGCACTTCTAGATGGGCTAAGAGCTGAGGACTTGGCTTCAATAGAGTGTAAGAATGTTGGCGGACTAATTTCGGAGTCGTCTCCTTAATACTTTCCCTATGCAAATCATTCAAGGATCCTGTAAAGCTTTTGGAACTAAGAGACGACGGGCCATCTTGAGATATGGTTAAATCACTGAAAGGGTCAGTTAAATTGTCTTTGTTTATAAAGTTGAGTTTAGCCATCTCCTCAAACATAGCTTTCTGTTTTTTATTGTTTCTTTGTGTTTCTACTTCAGTAATGACTTCCTTTTCTGTGATGACTTTTTGAGTTATTCTTCTCGTGCAAGTATAGTCCCTTTCAGGTAGATCTATTAGGGGAGGTGAGTGTGGACTCTTTACAGTCTCAAGAACATTTTTTCCATTTTCATTGATATTGAGATTAAGGTCTATGATTAGTTTAGGAGAACTAGACCTTGACGTTTCTACTGAACCCCCACCTCTCTTTGGAGTCACATTGTTGCGCAGTTTTGGTGATAAAGCTTTTGGTTTATCTTTGTTATTGGCTGAAGTGATTGCAGTAATTTTATCTATGTTAACATTGAACCCAGCTTTTACTTCTTCCCGGGGTATTTCAAAGTTTTGTTCACATTCAGGTAGTTCAGGAGCATCAGTCTTGTCTTCAGACTCTGAGTCTGTATCTATGACATACGGCTGAAGTATGGATATCCGCTTTTCCACTTCTTTAGCAAGGAGCTTGTAGTATTGCATTTCTTTGCGGCATTCCTTCGATAACTGAAAAAAAAAATAAGCGCGTGAAACATACAAAAAAGTCTACAAAAAACATTGAAATCGTATTCTAATTTCAAAATAATTAAAAAGTTCTCAATATATTCAACAGTCTAGGCTACCACTTCAACCGGGGATGCAAGCGCAATAATGAACCGCAGCTCCGGCTCAGAGCAGGATATGGAACACCCTGTTCCATATCCTGCTTCCTGCTCTTTTAGTCAGGAAAAGTCCGACACTACCTCTCGCATCACTCAAATAATTTGAGGATTTTCAAAAAAGAGCTGACCTACCCTCATATTAAATTTCGGAGTCAGTGCTCGGCACGCTGCGCCTTGCTTCTGATACGGTTGTAAGTCGTGACACGGTACAGACTTCAATATGACGGTACGTTAGGCTAATGACCACTTTGAGTTTATTTTGAAAAAGCTTTAATTTTGAAGACTTTTTTGTAAATATTGTTTTATTTGATTATTTTTAGTACACACAGTTAAGTGTGGGAGAGCCATGCTTCGGCACGAATGGGTCGGCTCGACCGGAGTGATACCACGGCCTCACAGAAAACCGGCGTGAAATAACCACAGCGTTGTGTTTCGCCGTGTGAGTGAGGTTACCGGAGGCCCGATCCTTCCCCTCCCCCAATTACTCCTCAATCCCTAAATCTCCAAATCCCTAATCCCTAAAAGGTCGGCAACGCACTCGTAATTCCTCCGTTGCGAGTGTCCATGGGCGGCGCTGATTGCTTCAGGTAATCCGTCTGCTCGTTTGTCAACCTATCACTTAAAAAAAACATCAGTACATTTTGAATTTTTCAGAAACCTGCTTGCATGCACACTTATTTTTTGTAACTATAACAATAACAACAACACACAGATGTAACAATGATACATATGAAACTTGGACAGCACATTAAGCTACCCATCACAGTACACCAGATATGCTGCTGCTACATTTTAGAGCAATTGACAAAGTAAGTGGATGGATATTGGATACACATATGCCTGGTTTCCAAAAGACCGATCAATGTTAAAATCAACTAACTAGGTGTCAAATCTCTTGTCAAGTCATCTGATTGGTTGTTGATAATTCAGTCAACCAATCAGATGACTTGACAAGAGATTAAATTGATCGGCCTTTCGGAAACCGGGTGTTAAACTTAATTACAGAGCTCATTCTGTTTGTTTGTAAGGAGTTTTCTAGAAATTACACTCAAATTTAGACAAAATTTCTCACTGACATTAGTCTTATTCAAGTAAGTAGTAAAAGCAAAAGAAATTATGAAATTAAACTGCAAATGCCAGAGATATGTGGGGTATACAAAGAAGATACAGTCAAGTTGAGAGAACATCGGTTTTTGAAGGAATTGAAGGTGTTTAAAAAGAAAAAGTTTTCTGTCACCTTCTTTGGCAGCTTTAGCAGATGTAATTTAAACAATATTTTTTTCATTTTTACAGATATTTCCAATATTATTCGAACAAGCTCTTGCTTAATATATGATAGTCTGCACATGTTATTTACAATGCTTGAAATTCTGGAAACAAATGAAAAAAATAATGTAGTTTGGTAATTTACATTTTTGAATGATTTTAAAGAATGCAGCTTTAATTTTACAAGAATCTTACAGAAATATATTAAGATAATAATTGAGTTGCATACAAGCAGATGGATCATGTTATGGTAAGCAATCAGTGTCGACCATGGATATCCGCAACACCAGCGGAGTTCTTTGGGATATAAGGATTGATAGTTGTTTCACTATCTGAGGCTGAGGTATATATAATTATGACTCAATCTAGGCAAATCATAGATCTCCACTATTACAAGAATAAGAAGCTGGATTCTTGTTAGAAAAAAATATGTACAATTGTGGTGTCTGATAAGTAGTGGTGTATTTTATTTTTATATACAAACCCAACCAATTTCTGTTATTTACTATGTCTCTACGTGTGAACAGATTTTTTTTAAATAAAATCTTCTCTTTAAATTGGAATTTTCACATGGGAAAATGTGGCTTTTCTTGTTTTTTTAATAGATTTTTGTTCTAGAAAAGGATCTATATGTTTGAAACACTATTTTATTCTTGCACTCCAAATGTTTACTTGCTCTTAAGACTACCCACTGACCCTGTATTTTCATTATATTAGGCTAGCAGCTGACAGGCGAGCTAATCAACTACTCCAAGGCAGATATCATGATCTAGGACAAAAAAATAAACGATGTACTCACCACGGGCGGAAGGAGCGGCACCCCGTTCAATTTCATACAGGACACGTACTGGCCGGCCTGTCGCACGCTCTTCACGTCCCACGGGTCGTTCATCCTTATTCTACTGGACTACGACCAATGAGTGGCCCCTGGACTCCTGATATACCCCAAAAAAAGTGCTAAGTCATCAATATCCAATCACTATCATCTCGTAGGAAGTTGCACGGCACTTTTCCAATTTATCTAATGTAATAAATCACAAATTTTGAACCTTATGACGAGGGATATTTAATTTCATTAAACGCCGACGGCATCGCATCGTTATGTACCAGATGTTGTCATGCACGATTACGTCAGTTAATAAGTATTTTAACCGGTCCGATGAGGAACATTAGCTACAATTTATACTATGGTATGTGGTAAACGCAGAAATATAGAACTATCTTAACTATTTTGTGATTTTCAACTTTATTTGTAAATATTGGCAAAATATCGGTACTCGAATATTATGAATTTGAAAATAGTGAAACTGAAATCTTTTCTCTATTACGGTAAAGCGGCATAGCCATAAAACTTTTTAACTTTTAAACCAATAACATTCACTTAACTGGAAAAAAAATATCAGGTATCCAATGGTAGCGATGTAAATTCAAAACAATATTTTTTATCGAATTGAAAACAGCCTATTTAGCAGTTGTCAAACAAACTTCGTGTTGCCATGGTTACATCCTAAAAATGAATAATTATTGTGTCTAAAAAGTAAAATATAGTGATGAAAATATTTGATGATTTTTTCAGTTACTGCATTGAAAATTGTAAATACACTTAAATAAAGTGTATCCACCGAGTTATTTATCTTGTTGAACGAAACGAACACAGTCGATTGACTGCTTACTGAACGTTAATAAATTCATCAAAATAATTTTGAGTTTACGACAGTGACACTTGACAGTGACGTGACATCACCACTATACCTCATATTGATACACTGAGTAATCATGTAAATTTTGGATTATTTACAAATCTTCAATGATAACTTCAAAAAAGTACTAGTGTACTCACTGAACACAACAAAAGCAAGCCTGCGGATACATCTCTTTATTACCTTTCAGCAGAAACCTATGAAAATGGATGTGTTATTAATGAGGAACATTTGTCCCGCCGGGAAGCAGGCGTTAATTTGTTTTTTTATTTCTACTTTAGTGTTTACGACATCCTTCTTCTCTGGGAGTGTTCTAGGATTCTCGTCAGAGCTATGGGCTTTAACATATTGGGGTCCGGCGCTGTACTTCTGTTTATTTAACTTCATATTACGATACTGCTATAAAGGCTTCATGTATGAGGTACGTTTCATTATATTTATTACCTTGACTTATTCGGGGCCGATTGTAGCATTATTTTCTTAATCTCTAAGAAGCCCGGTTATCAGAAAACGGAAAGCCATTTTAGCAAAACATTTTATATGCCAACCTTTATTCAATTAGCTTGTAGGTCAGGGTGACTCATTATATTCGGAATCATCATTGCATTGCGAATCAAAAATCGCCTTTAATTGAAGAACAGTGAAACTTAATAATATCAAATGTCAAAAAAGCACTTCAATGGTTTTAGAAAACTTATAATTGGAATTATTTTTCAGGTATCAATCAGATCAGCTTTTCTTGGTGCAACATTCTCCCTGGGCATCTTCCTGGCCAGTTTTGATAATGGCTGGCGCGTGTTTGGGTTGTATGCCATAATTCTATCATTCTTCCACTTCTCCGAGTTTGTGTCAGTGGCATTGACTAATCCAAGGACATTGTCAGTGAATTCATTCATATTGAACCACAGTGTACAGTATGGTGCTGCTGCAGTGGCCAGCTGGATAGAATGGGGACTGGAGTACTACTTTTTTCCTGGTAAGTTGGTCTATTTCTTTGTTCAATAGAAGCATTTTTATAGCACTTAAATAGACCAACCTAAAGTAAACTTGTTGATAAACATAAACATATATCATTATATCCGCTACCTAGATAATAATACAATTTTTACTCATCAAAAGCCTAGACTACTTTTCTGATAGTCACTTTTAATATTTCATAAAAATAAACATCAAAATAATTGTCAGTGTACAAGAATCATGTTTGTCGTAGACATGAAGACCTACTTTTGGATTTCTGCTGTGGGTGTGGTGATGTGTGTCACAGGAGAGGGCCTCCGGAAGTCAGCCATGTTCACTGCTAAGACTAACTTCAATCACACTGTAAGTAACACTGTACTTATAATGATTTATTTATTTATTTAAAAAAGGTACACCAACAGCTTTTGTATATAGCAAATTAAATAAAACAATAATAAGATATATATATAAGATAAATAACTATTAAAAAAATAAGCTTACTCTTGAGACTTCTTGTTAACAATTGCTTCTACACCTTAGCTGACATGACCTCATGTAGTGCAATTATGTTAAGATCTTAACATTTGTATTTAATTGCTAATTCCTACCTACTTATAATTGTGCATGCTGTAAATAGTATTAGATGTATCTGCAACAATTTTATATTTATTGACATCTGAAATACCATACTAATTCATGCAAATCCATATATTCTATATTCTGTTATATTATTATTTGTACCAATTACATGATGGTAACAATCGACACGCGGCCATTAGACGTATCAACTTAAGACAGGTACAGGTCCAGTAAATGTGGGAGAGCCATGCATCGGCATGAATGGGTCGACTCGATCGGAGTGACACCACGGTTTTACAGAAAACAACCACAGCGTTGTGTATCGCCGTATGAGTGAGGTTACCGGAGGCCTAATCTTTCCCCTCCCACAATCCCTTTTCAATCCCTTATCCCCAAAAGGTCGGCAATGCACTCGTAACTCTTCTGTTGTTGCGGGTGCCCATGGGCGGCGCTGATTGCTTACCATCAGGTAAACCGACGCTCGTATCCCTACCTCATAAAAAAATAAGTGCGCCGTGTTATAGAACTTTTGGGAATTGAAGATTGGTGATGGGGAATGAAGGGGAAGAAGGAGGATTGACCAGGTGATTTTAGTCACATGGTTAAAGACAAAGCAAATGAGGTTTTACGTCGGTTTGCTATGAGACTGTAGAATCATTCCAGCAGGGCCGGCCCGTTTGTGCGAAAGCATAGCATCCCACTTTAATGAATAAGCCGCATAATGCTGTTTCAAATATTATATTATAAAACACCATTATTTAAATTACAGGTACAATTTGTAAAGCGTCCAGATCATCAGCTGGTGACCCATGGAGTGTACTCATTCTGCAGACATCCTAGCTATGTGGGCTGGTTCTACTGGTCCATTGGTACACAGGTGGGATATCTAGAATAATATAAATATCTGAACCTAAAAAAGCTACTAGTAATTTTTAATTGAAAGCAGGGTCTATTATGTTTTTTTATGTTTTAAAATCATTAAATTACATCTCCCGGTCTGCATGGGGTGGGGTGAAAAAGAGTATCAGATTCTTACTGACTGAAAACCACCTCGTTTCTTCTGCTGCTCCAGGCTGAGGCTGCGGAACATAAAACTGCAATCTGGAAATCAATAAATCCTTATACATAGTTGCTGCTTGATATAAGATCTTGAACTTCGTTGTTCCGAGAACTCGATACCTTACCTTACTAACTTACCTTCAGTTGGTCAAATCGAAATTCATAGTGATTACGCTTTCCAGATAACTCTCCTAAACCCGATCTGCATTATCATCTACGCGCTAGCATCATGGACGTTCTTCCGCGAGCGAGTGTATGCGGAGGAGCTGACCCTGCTGACCTTCTTCGGGCCGCAGTACGCAGAGTACCAGAAGAAAGTCGGCACCGGACTCCCATACATCATGGGGTACATCCCTGAGAACACCGAGCAGAATATCAAGGATCATCATTGGAGTTATTAGGTATGAAGATTTTATTAAATATCAGCCCGTCTCTTTTTGGTTTTCTATCTCGTTGTCATTTATTTGTATTGTTAGCGAACCGGTACGGCATCGAAAGCCCTATTTTTTGGTGAGATGAAAAATGATAGAATGACTAAAAACTACCCTGTTCATTCTCTTACTCCTGCCTGAGCCATGGTGTGATTAAGAGTTAAGATTCCCTGAACTCTGTAACAAGCAGCAGTGCTTCCACTGAGGTGCTGCCTGCCACTCTAATTCAGACCAAGGCGGCAATGTCTTTTCCTATTGAATTTAACTGTCAATGCTCACGTAGGTACTGGTGTCTCGGCTGACTCGCGCTACCGTCGCGTTATTGCCCGCATCGTCGATTTTATTAACTTAGTAATACCAACAGACCGTGCCAAAACTGCGAAAATTTATAAAATTCTTCTTTGTTTACAGGTAAAGGAGATCTCACATGTTTTTGCAGAGAGACTGTCTCAAGTCACAGTGAATTATCTAGTCTTTTACAACTTCAATTGTACCACTTCCAACTCTAGAACAATATCCACCTAAATCAACATCTTAAATCTGTTTCTATAGTATTTAGCTGAGTATTATATTACTGCACACAAATATAATTCTTAAAAATTATAGTATGAAGTTACATGTAACTTGTAAAGTACAATTTTGTATAATTATTGCGTATTTACATGTAAGTGTCTAAACAAACGTGAACTTTTTTGGTTTTAAATGCAAAAAAATCAATGCAAAATATCAAATAAAGTATTTTGTTATTCATGATACAAATTGGATTAAAAAACGCTAACAGATTAAAAACGATGGTGTCGCCATCTACCTATGTCTAAAAATTAACATAACTAAAACGTGTTACCTGTTTTTAATAGCTTTGAAATCTGAAAATAAAAATATTTTAATTAAGAACTAACGAAGAAAAACCTCAAAACTACTTAGTACTTATTTGTAAAATATTATCTATTTTTTTTAATCTAGCAAAAAAGGAAGATGGACCGTTTATTACAGACCTGCATTACATGCAGATTTACTGCTTAAAGCATCAAAGGTAACGGAAAATAAGAGCCAAAGACGGATTTTTTTTATTTTTGATGCACTTCTATTAAAAAAAACAACTCTACAATATACAAATTCATGCTACACTGTATTTGGTCTGTCAACTTAACATCATCCTTAGATTTACAGACTTTTCTTATCTTAAAATCTTACATTAAGTATATTACTTAGAAAATTCTCTACTATTTGTAATTAATATGTAAATAATACTTGAATGATCATATTGTATACATTGTACATAATGGCAGAGGCAACAGATTTTAACCGACTTTGCAATAAGGAGGTTCGTATTCCATGCATTTTATGTTTATTACGGGACATGTAAATTGTTTGGTGCCAAAGAGACACTTTATTAAATAGGTCTGCATGCGATCCGATACCCAATCACATTATCAGGATTTATTATTAAAATGAGCTTTATTGTCCCCAACCAGTTGGCGCTAGTGAGCTTTAAAGGGACGTTCAATCTTACATACAGCTTTACGTAATCAAATATTATATTTAATCAAGTGATCTTCCATGTTTTAAATGAAGCACATATTTCATTAAAGTTTTCAATGTTCAATATAGGTAACACGCAAATGTAGGTATCTCCTCGCATGCAGACACGTGGCGATTCCAAAATAATCATAAAATGGAGCAATGATTGTGATCTTTATAAATGCTTGTATGTATAAAGGTTGTGAATGTACCGACTACAGAACAAATGATAAATGAAATAAAGAGAAATATTTTTAATTATTGTGTACACGCTGTCTTTCTATTTCCTCTCATTCGTTTTAAACCACATTCACCGCAAAGTTAAGAAACCAATGGCGGTCTTTGCATAATGTTTTACAAAATCACGATAACTATTGTTGACAAAACATTACTGTTTGGGCACAGAAGTAACAGTATCGAATTAGCGTCGTTCGAAACTAGCCATTTATTGTTAACTTCGATAAAAAAAGTTAAAACTTAAAGTGATATTTGTTCGCTATGTCAAAACTAACTTGATTAAACAGTATATTTTTGTAATATAATTTTATGTAAGAACAAAAAACTATTGATACATATAAACATGTCCAGTGTAGCTGTTTTTGTTTTTCTCCTGGACAATATAGTAGGTAAGTAATTGAAATATATTATGTTTGTTTGTTTTTTTTACTAACGAATTATTTCAGAATCATGTCAAACTGGTTTTTGAAATTTCAAGTAAGGCAAGTTATTTAAATGAGTTGTTTTAATTTAAACAAAAAAATTTTTTAAGAATAGTGGTAGTAGTAGGCTGTTAATTAATAAGTATAGATAATATCATTTCATCAAGCCCCATTTAAGCTTGAACTGAAATAGCTTAAGCCTAAGGCGACATTACTAAAGAATATTAGGAATGTTGGTTCCTGCAAAAACAATATCTACGCGGGAACGTGAAGAACAAGCTTAAATAGAATGAAGTAGGCTAACTTCGACTTACCCTGACTTTCTATGGCATACCTCACCATTCTTTCTTTTCTTTTCTTTTTTTAAAAATGTTGCCCCACTTTAGCATTTCCTCCTGTGTCGTGGGTGCTGTTACAAACATACATTTTCACATACACAAGACACCCAGACCCGGAACAACAATTTGTGGATCACACAAAGAGTTGTTCCGTGCGGGAATCGAACCCGCGACACGTTGCACGGCAGCCAGTTGCCCAGCCACCGCACCAACCGTGCAGTCATTAAGCAGGGATCGCTTTGTTTACTAACATAAGGAAATGAAATCCTAATGTTTACTGTTCTACGTACTGTTCACGGTTTTTACGTAAGAGTTAGGTATACCTACATCGCCTGTCGAGTTTTTATTAAGTAACCAACGTCACCCTATATTTTTTAATTTATTTCAGGATTCAAAAGCGCCCTCAACGATTCTCTGGCACTTAATGCTAAGTTAACTCACAGTAATGAAACACCAGTTATAAAGAACTGTGACCCGCACACCACCGAGCTGATACTGAGCGCCGTCAGTCATGAACTCGACCTAGTCATCGTGCCCTCCTTCAAGACTGATAGCAACCCCCTCAGCGAACAGCTGAAAGATTCTCAAGAAATGTTTAACACTGTCTTCGACAACTCTTTACACGATCCAGTTCATGGTAACGATATCTCGATGTATGACAAAACAATTTTATCAGAGAACGAATTTAAGTCGTTTAAAAGTTTCGGCGATAAACGTCACCTAAACACAACTAAAACGGTTGCACAAAAAATAAAGAATGAGACAAAAATTGAGTTTCCCTCGAGCGCGCCTTTTTTGGTCGCCATATTTGAAACGATAGCTAATGTTACTGCGCAAACTTGTGCGGGGACTTTGATCACGCCGCGGTGGGTGCTCACTGCTGCCAACTGCATTAATATATTGACCAATGTGTATGCTAACAAGTAAGTAGCAGTTTCGAGCTTTGAGTAGCGTACTAAGTAGTTAACTAAGTAGTTAACTAAGTATTGTTTTTAACACTTAATTATTTGTTTCTTTATGTATGTTTTTCTAGCACCAACACGACAGAGAAAAATCATTACTACACAGTAGTGGCAAGTTCCTTAAATCCTCTGCTGGATGGGTCAGCGCACAATGTGACGACGGTCCTGGTGCACCCTGAATCCAACTCATCACAACTTGCTAGCATGAGCGGAGAAATGGGTCCATACTTGGCCTTGATGAAGATTGAGCCTGCGGTGGAAGTTCCAACCATGGAGCTGATGTCGGAGGACATAACGAGTGGAGAAGTTATAGTGTACGGTTGGATTTTGTCTAAGGTGAGGCTTGAGGTATTAGTGAAGAATAAGTTTGCACTTATTTAGGCTTCAATTGTCAAGTAATGTTCAGCTTACCGCCAAAACTTCAGGTCTTGTACACCCACTATGCAGTGTAGACCACCCTTCATCTGTTCAGCGATATGGGCGATGTAGCGTAAGCCCAAAATACGTCGGATGGCCTTTTTAATTCGAACAAACTTTAGCCACCATTTATTTTTGAGTCATATCCGTATTTAACTTCAGCTTTATCGAATTATTGGTGAAAAGCCTTTCTAACTTTAAGTCTAGGTCTGTTTAGGTCTAGGTCTAGTAAAGAATTGACATTACCTAAATTTGTATCAAATGGCTTACTTGATAATATTGTAGAACGAGTCTGCCCACGACGCACTGTCTCGCACGTCGACGGCGAGCCAGATCCTGAGCCCTGCGGAGTGCCAGGCCATGTACAGCTACAAGGATAATGACGTGCTCTGCCTCATCAGCCACAATATGTCCAAGAATATTATGCAGGTACCTACACATATTTAGTATATTTAGAGCAACTAGTCAAGTGGTTGCATTTCCCACAAAGGTATTCATCATCAGCCTATAAATGCCCACTGCTGAGCAAAGGCCTCTTCTCACACGGAGAAGGTTTGAGCATTCATCACCATGCTTGCTCAATGCGGGTTGGCGATTTCAAATTAGAAAGTCAAAAGTCAAAAGTCAAAAATCATTTATTCCAATTAGACCTTTACAGGCACTTTTGAACGTCAAACAAAAATTTTGAAGATTTAGTGTCAGTCTGTCGGTCAGTCCTCTTAGTGAAGCTATTTGCTCGTTCCAAAGTGTAGATTCCGATGGAGAAGAACGAGCAAGAAACTCCATGGTTACTCTTTTTAAATCAGTTTCACATACAGATTCTTTTTACAAACAGTTGGTTCAATTATGTGAGAACAGTGTAACACTAATATTTAATCAAACATAAAAATAAAGTAACCTTAAGGACAATAGACAGTCCGGAGCTGACCAGTCCCAACTGACGGCGCTCGTTCACGAGCATGACACGTACACCAGCATCGCCCAACACAACCATATTATAGAGAATTAAGCGATCCAGCGCCCATGCCACCGCCAGTGTGACCTTTCAGTGAGCATGACAACTCCAAGCTGTTATAAGGACCGACATTCTGCTAGTCTAACCAATTATAATAGGTTACAGGGCACTCACATTTACAAATTTATCAAGTTATAGTTATACAATGTAATGCAATTTCACTAAAATGAAGAAGTCCCGTTCAAGCAAAATCCACTGGAACGTTATTTATTTTGGTGTAGATTTGCTATCCTGTGGAGCAGGACCAGCATGTCTCCAAGCATCTTTATCTACAATGTAATCATTCAGTGTATAGTATGCTTTTCTACATAAAGTTTTCTTAACACATAATTTAAAATTTCTTTCATTTAATTGTTGTATTTCGCCTGGGATTTTGTTATAACATTTAACACAGAATCCCATGAACGACTTATGTACCTTTGCCAATCTAAATAATGGCTGACATAATCTATCTCTATGTCTAGTTTGATAATTATGTCTATCTGACACCTTATCGAATATTTTTAAGTTTTTCCTAACATACATAATGTTTTCATAAATAAACTGACATGGCACGGTCATAATATTGATCTCTCTAAACTTTTCTCTAAGAGACTCACGACGCTTTAGGTTGTAAATAGCTCTGATGGCACGCTTTTGCAAGACAAAGATAGACCCAATGTCAGCAGCCTGTCCCCACAACAAGATGCCATACGACATAATGCTATGAAAGTAGCTGAAGTACACCAGTCTTGCAGTGTCCACATCTGTTAGCTGTCGGATCTTCCAGACAGCAAATGCTGCAGAGCTCAACGCCGTCCTGCCAGAGATGTGATATGGGGCCCCCATTGTAGTTTGTCATCTATGGTTATACCCAGAAAAGTAGTTTGTTTTACAAATTCCAATTTATTACCGTTTAATAATATGTCACACTCGTTACTTTTAACATTTGGCAAACTGAAACGTATACACTTTGTCTTTTTGTCGTTTAGGACTAAATTATTAACTGTAAACCAATTATGAACCTTCGTAATAGCATTATTTACGTCGTCATAATTATCTGTCCGCCTATTTATTTTAAAAATCAACGATGTATCATCAGCAAATGATACCATTCCCGGTTCACGTTGAAATAAATGAGGTAAATCATTTATGTACACTAAAAACAGGAAAGGACCTAATATCGAGCCCTGTGGTACGCCCATAGATATGCTAGTACCCTGGGAGTTCACTTTATTTACTTGTACTTTGAACTGCCTATCCTGCAGGTATGATTTTAATAAATTGAGAGATACCCCTCGAATGCCGTAGTGTTCTAACTTTAGCAACAGTGTCGCGTGTTCAACGCAATCAAAAGCTTTAGACAGGTCACAAAAAATCCCAATAGCGTCGTTTGACTTTTCCCATGAGGCAAAAACATGCTTAAGTAGAGCTACACCGGCGTCAGTTGTGCATCGACCCTTGGTAAACCCATATTGTTGGTCATGAAAGATGGAATTTATGTTAAAGTGTCGTAGCATCTGAGAAAGCATTAGCTTTTCAAACACCTTACTAAGCACTGGTAAAATTGATACCGGCCTATAATTATTGGGATCATTGTCATCGCCAGATTTAAACAACGGAAATTTATAAGTCCGGTTTCCTCACGATGTTTACCTTCATCATATGTCAGTGGTGTCTAAATAATCATAGAAAGTACATATAACTCGGAAAAAGTCACATTGGTACTTGCCAGGTTTCGAACCCACACCCTCATGCATGAGAAACGGGCTCCTTAACCTCCGGGCCACCACGACATTTTTGAAGACATTTTTTGACAAAGGTGTTACCGACTATTTATTATCAGGTTCAGAAACTGGGAATAATCTCGTAAAAGAAAGTTCCCAATCAACATATTTAGATACATTATTAATGCAAGAAGTTTGTAATTGTTTGTATAGACAGGTGATTGTTTGTTACTCATTCACCTAAAAAGTTTTCAACCGATCGTATGAAATTTAGCGCTGAAATATTCAAATAGGTATAGGTTACTTTTACCCTGATATAGTAAGTCAGGCCCTTAGTACTATGAGCTAAGCCGATGTACGAAGCTATTGTGTATACGTACACATTTCAATTAGAGGATACCTAAACACAATAAGAAGTACCAACCTTTTCTGTTTGTAATAATCTGTGTCAATTAAGTGGTTCTAATCTCAAAAGACCACAATAAAATGAACTTGCACGATTCACACACACATTGTCTTTGTTTCGGCTTTTCTTCTCACAGTAGTCACATGGGCAGTGCCGGCTTCATCTAGATTTAAGGCCTATATGTAAAAATAAATTCTATGTTTCATTGTTTTTTTTTCTTTGCAGCTCAGTTCTGGAGGTCCCGTACTCATCGTGCACGAGGGTAAGGTGAAGATGCTGTCGGTGGTGCAGACTGACGAGCACGTGTTCGTATCCTACCCGCTCGCGGCACACTACGACTGGATCGTGCATACTCTTAATAATAAATAATTTATTTATAAGGAATTTTGTGTTTCATTCATGAAAAAATGGCACATCAAAATAATATTTAAACTTGCACTGAAGGCAATAAGAATGATGATTCGCAACAAAGTTTAATACAGTTATCATCGTGCAAATCACAAATATAATATTACAATCGAACTTCTAAATGTTGCACTGGCATAAATTCGATAAATAAACAAAAAAATTCGTTGTTTCAATAAATAGTGTTGCTTTCTGCCACAAGATGGCGTTAAATATAATAACGTGTGTTCGACTATACCTACTACAATACTATCTCACGCGAACTACATGTTTTATTTACAATTGAATAATGAAAGCATTGTTGTTTGACAAAACAATAATATGTCATCATGGCTGCATGATATAACATCATTTAGAAAATTTATATTATAGATATCTACCTAGGTAATATAAACAATCATTTCTTTTGTGAATATGCAAGAATGTTTCAATCATTTCGTCATCTAAATAATCAGTCATCACTACCCCGTTTGTGTCCACGGCTGGACATAGGTTTCGAGCTGTTTTAGAATTGGTTCTTCAGTTGCACGCGTCTGAGCTCGATGTCCAACTCTTCTCATCCAACCATTGCCTTACGGATATTAACACTCTATTAAGCTGGATGATACACTAGTTTGCCTAGGCGCGTGTGACCTGCTTATTTTTTTTAATAAAAAATGTTGGCCCCCACTAGGATTTTCTCCTGTGTCGTGGGTGCGTTTACAAACATACAATTTCACATGCACATCACACCCAGACCCGGAACAACAATCTGTGGATCACACAGCCAGTTGCCCGGCCACCGCGCCAACCGTGCATTCATCAATATTGTCACTTGATTTGGACTATGCCCATAGTTTTTGTTCTCTGTTGTACCTATCGCCTCGTTTCGAATCCATCAAAGAGACTCCAAGTATACCGTAGCCCTCTCCTAAACTCAACGCAATTAAAAAAAATCAAACCCCACCAGCCAGTTACCACTTAAACCAGCCAGTTTTTTGTGTGATAGATACTTCACAATTCTATTCGTCTCACACAATAAGTTATAATTACATAGGTGAATGTTACGTTACATATTTTATAACAAAACAAGTTCATTCGCAACTAAGGCGTTACGGTTTGTACTTTGTATATACGAGTACGAGTAAGTACGGGATTATAATGCCATCGCCTCCCTTAGGTAGGCGAGTAGGTACTATGTATGTACCAGCAACGTCAGAGGTGCCAACGTGAGGCTTCTTGCATTGCTGACAACGTGCACTGCGTAAGGTTTCCACGCACTCATACTTTAACTCTTTTTGTAAACAAATAGAAATTTATTTATGAAAACTAACATCATCTATTGGCCCTGATTTTGATGATAGATATCGGTCCACCTAGCCTATGACCTAGAGGAACCTGGAAGGATAACCTCCTGCCATAAGTAAAATGCCAAAATTACAAAATACTAAAAAAATTTAGGTAATTAGGTAATTTTTTGAATAGTGACCAAAACATAAGTTCTGTTCACTTTTCGCGTTCTTATCGGGTGAATGACTTATCCACTATGAATGTGATCTGCTTACATAATTATATAAAACCTGTTTTACTGTAGGTAATAACTGCAGTCATTTAAACGCTCGCTCATTCACAATATAAAACTATAGTAACTTTTGCCCGCGGCTCCGATCCTATAATTTATAGGTTTCTTTTATCAGTTTTCGCATTTCACTTCTACCTACCTAATTTTAAACGTTATTTTCTCAAAAGTTGACTGGAGTCATAGGTACTATATATGTCGGTATTAGCTTAATTTTTTTTTTTTGAAAGGAATCAACATCATATGTCTTTTTCGTCACCACCCCGTTCCTTCTCCTATTCTGCATGATGCGAGATATTAGGTACAAACCTATATTTCATAGCAATGTAACATCCCGTTTTTTTATTCCGAATGTTTTTCCAAATGACTTCTCCCGCTTAGGGTCAGGCGGGAGGGAGTGTCAGCCTCTTACTGACTAAAAATCCCCCGTTCCTTCTCCTGCTCTGAGCCGAGGCCGCGGTAACCCATTGCGCTTATCCCGCAACCCCGGCTTTTATTCCGAAGGTAAAGAATACTTTTAACATATCATTAGAATTGTATTTTAAGCAGGTAATCCAATTGCCACACACCGAGCCCAAATCCAGAATATACGGTATTTTTAAGAGCATATTATTTCCCTTACATTACAATCAAATACTACTCCACCCGCAAGACAGTTAGACATGACTGTTAAATAGCAACAAACAAATGAACAAACAATTTACGTAATACTTGCATTATACAGGCTACCTACCTAGACTGGTAAAACCAATGTAAAAGTTAAAACTGATCACGAGTGACGTGTAGTAAGCTTTCTATTTAATTCTGTCCTTATGTAATAATGAAGATGCTTACCTACATACCTACATACACATAGCTAGCTATACGGGTATTGTTGATTCATTCATTCCTAATAATTACGACGTAGGTATTACCTAATACTGTGAATACAAATATTTCAATATAATTTAAATAACAAATATAAAAACACACGCCTTTATGTATATAATCTACCTATTTGTATTACAAAGCGAACTATTGTTTTTTTTTTATATTTACCTATAGAAAAGATACCTTTTTTGTGAGGGGAAAATCATCAAATGACTTGTCCCGCCCCGGGCCGGGCGGGAGGGAGTGTCAGACTCTTACTGACTAAAAATCCCCCTGTTCCTTCTCCTGCTCTAGGCCGAGGTCGCGGTGCCTCATTGCGCTTACCCCGCAACCCCGGCTGAAATAGAAAAGATACCTAAGAATCTAATCTATCTGCGTACATTAACTATCCTGATATAGATATCCAAATCCGTTCAGCCGTTTTAAGGTTTATGCGAAAATATTAGGTAACTCAAATACAAACATCCATACAACCTTTCGAAATATTTTTTAAACGTTGCCCAACTCTCGAATTTTCTCCTGGCCATCGCCATTGACAACACCAGAGGTGTTTCAAGTGCAGCAAGGATAACTCCTAAAGGCTGCAGAGAGTTTTGTGGATTGCAGTGATTGGGCCTTCGGTATCCTCAATCACACGGGAACACAACGCTGTGGTTGTTTCACGTCGGTTTTCTGTGAGGCCTTGGTATCACTCCGGCACTCGAAGTATAAGTGCTGAATGACTCTCCCACACTTAAATAGCCAGCAGAAAGTTTTATTATGTTTAAAGAAGCAGTTCTACTTAATTTTCTATGAAATGTATGGCGATTGTTACGTCATCTGGTGACAGAAACTTTCACACTTGCGTTATAGTTTTACGCATAGCCGTCGGAACATAACGCTGACCCTGTGACCTCTCGCTGGCACTCGTCCAAAATCAACTTGCGACACTCAATGCTCCAGAATACTGCAATTTACTACCGAAGTATTATTTTATCCCTTCCTTCCTTCCTTGTAATAAAAAGTTTTTTAACTATTACTAAAATGCGTGACCTTGTTTTTTAAATTGACCAAGTATCTCAATAAGGACGAAAGAGTCTCTATTTTATCATTTTAGCTACACATTTCAAAAAATATCTTAAAATCTTAACATTATTGATTTATAGATATATAAATACGATATATTTTTCCAATAATAAAAATTTGAAATTAGTACTATGTATATATTATGTATGCATTTATATAATTAACCCAACAATTTGGCAAAACTCTCCCTTACCTAATTCATTATTTTTACACGTGACGTGCAGGTAAGTAATGTGATTGAAACATCACCAGTGATTCAGGCAGGCAGGTCGCTAGCCCATCGCCTTCGCCCACTATCACAGCAATAAGCCATTTCCTTCGCTTGGCATTGACATTTGCAATGAAGGTACATCACATTCCTCCTCCCAGAGGCTCGCAGTATAGTGCACGCTGCTATTCTGTTGCACTTTATTGCATTGTAATCCAATAATATTACAGAATGTGGGTACCTTCAAGTTGTGCGACTGAATGACGCTAACGGCCAATAAATTTGAATTTCACAAACAAATATTTTCTTAACGTTTTATCATTTTACCCACATTTGGTGGCGCTACTTCTGAGCTAGTTTCAATACTATCCTCATGTTGATAATGAATGGCATTTCGTTCAAAATAGTTACGGTGCAGTATAAAAAATATTTATATGTATTTATTAATTTTGCATAATATACAATAGACAGTTCGTGCTAGGTTGCGGCAGATCTAGGTCACTACTAACCGGCGAGCCCTAGACCTATATTGGAGTACTCACACGGAAGTTGCAGCACGTCGAGTGAAACCATCATGATAAGCAGACAGTGACCGCTAACGTGACGTCACTGCCGAAGAAAGTGGACAGTGGTGCTGGTCGGCAGCGCGCTGCCGGGCTCCAGCGCCAGTCAACGACAGAGGCGCGCGCGAGCCGCACGCTCGCGACATGGCCGGACGGAATTCGCGCTAACCAATCAAATTTAAATTAGTGAAACAAAATGTCATTCCGACGACTGCTGAGTGCGGTCCGGTCAGCGCGGGAAGCCATCACCAGAGGAGCTCCGATGGCAGACGGACTATTAAAATCCTTGTTATCAGTTATTGTAATATTTTGCATCGCTGTGTCGTCGCCTCCCTCGGCGTCTGCAAAACCGTTTGCGTTCAGTTTTCCTGCGGGATGGTCACTCGCTGGACTGGTGGGCACTGTGGGGGCGCGCTCTGAGGACGCAGAGCGAAGAGAGCCAGCAGCGGGAGCGAAGCCCTACACGGGGCGACGCATCGCTAACGACACGCTGCGGATGGTGTACCATCACGACCTGACTGTGGCCGTGGTAGAGCTGGGGCCCAACAAGCTGCTCCTCAACTGCGAACTCATCGAAACACAGTGAGTACAACCTGCTTATCATATATACGTTTAGCCGCCGGCCTCCCTGTGAGGACACTGGGACATTCGTAAGCCAATAAAACTTCGTAACAAGTAACTTTGAAAGATTTCAAAGCAA